AGAAAGAAAGAAAAAATACCTGTGCACATAAGACATCTAAAAACAACATTCTAATCATTATGGATACAAACTTCTCTATAAATGCTGCAATGTTAATGGCTCATCCAGGGGTGAGGACACTCTCCAAGTCTGCTGTAGTTTAATCCCAGTGGCAGGAGCACACTTGTAACAGTTTCTCCAAATAGTTAACACTTCAGTCATTATAAAGTAGCTGAGCAAGAAAAATCACTTCTTCATGCTTTGGCCACTAGTCTGTATTGGGTGTTTCTGCCCACAATATTATCATTTGGTTTCATGTATTTCAACATTCTAAAATCCCAGCTTTGATACTCAGAGTGAACTGAAATGACCTCACCCCCAAAGACATGGTTCCGGTCATCATTCTTCCAATATAACTTCCAATGTAACTATACCTGGACGATGATAGAATGTGACCAGCTTGGAGTTAGTGTGAACCACAAATCCAACTGATGGGATCTTTGCAAGGGAAAGGGAAGGAACATGAGACAGAGACATAAGGAGGACTGTGAGTCTGGTGGGCTGACTTGTCAAATGCTAGTTGTCACTTTCTGTATACTTTCAGGCCCTCAGCAAGACTGAAAGGCAGTGAGGACAATGTGGAGAACAGTCACACTGTTGCAAGCCAAACACCCTTACAAGGGAGTCTTCAACAAGATCTGACTAGTCAGAGGCGGCATGAGAATGACAGCATGGGCGGGGTCTGCGAGAACTGCGGGATGAGAGAGAAAAGCCTGACCCTGAAGAGCTCTGCGTTGTTGTACTGTAATACGGACATTTCCATGAAGCGACAAGGAAAGAATGCTGGGGGAAAAGGCCTCATTTTAAGGTAAAAATGGCTCAACAAACAGAAAACTGGCGCAAACGTGAATACTAACAGTGCTTCTGGGAAGGGCACAGAGGAAAATGAAGAACATGATTTTGAAAAATAAAGGTGACTTCTGCCTTTAGACAGAGTGGTAGACATTGTAGATGAACTATAACCTACTAATGGGCAGAAAACCATTTATAAGTGATGTGTTTCCGTGTGTGTGTGTGTGTGTGTGTGTGTGTGTGTGTGTGTGTGTGTGTGTATGAAATGTGTGTGAGCAAAGGCTTGATGGCACAGCCTGGTTTCTCCTTGCTGCTTTTAGTAAAATGTAAGAGTAACTGTAAAGAAAAACTGAGAAGGCAAATTACTAAACAAAATACAAGAAACAGATGTTTAGGGCAGCAAGGGGTACAAGGACAGTGCCTTCATCACCCTGCAAGCTTTCTGGGTCTCCAGCACAAAAGCAGCCAAATTAAGAAGCTGACTGTGTGCAGTGCTCCTGGGTGTAGGGAGCAAAGAGAACCTGGGCTGAAGGAGGAGGAGCACAAATCCAAAGACTCTGGGTTCCATCCCTAGCACCACAGTCAACCAGTCAATCAACTGATAAATCAAAAGTCAGTGCTGTTTTCATTAAACTGCGACTAGAGTTTGGTAATTACCTTGTTTAGGTCTTACAGGGAGAGCTGAATCCCTAAATCATCAAAGTAGAGTTCTGTGTTCAGTAACAGTATCCAATACACACAGTTCCAGGGCAAGGATATGCCACTCCCTCTCAGGACAGAAAGACGGCCTGCGGCAAGGCACATTACGGAAGGGCATGTGGTGACTCATGTACTTAGGAAGAATGGAAGAACACTCTGTGTGTGTGTACACACACTTACAAACACATGGTATACTTACATGTAACTAAAGACCATGGGGAGATTCACAGAAACGGTTCTCATGGGCAGATTCCTGGGAGGAGGACAGGCAACAGACACTGTGGAAGGAGACTCCATGGTACACAGCCTTTTGTACTCTGAGCTACATAAGTCTGTTTTTATTCTGAAGGTTGATGACCATAAATAATAAAGCGAAACTGTCTATCTTAGAAACCACACGTAA